TGCATAACATGTCAGGACATTTATGCATTGAAATGCTTGTGGTGAGGTTTAGCTAATCACTCTACAGAAAGTAAATAAGTAAAAATAAAAATACAAGAAAAACCAACTGAAATATATTAAATATACACAAGGTGTCGCTGTGTCAGTAAAATGTCTTTGAGACGGGTCGTGTGCAACATAGCGCGAAAGCCCTGTTTCGCAACGACTGAGAACTGCAGGTCACATAGCAGCGATGCGTTATTCGCATTTATAAGCGCTGCTGTTGGTTTCCTGGTACGTTAAATCTGCAACGAGAGACTGTCACACACTAAAAAGTGGCGAAGCTGAAGTCGCTTCTCTTTCGAATTCTCCCGTTCCACCTTAAATGGTGCCGCATTTACATTCGGCGCCTCAGTCAGAATTTAAGGTGGAACGGGTAAATTCGAACAAGAAACTGGAGAATAGGAAGCGACTTCAGCCTCGTAAAACAGTCGAACATTGAGAGACATTTAACTGGTCTACTTCTGAGGAAAAGTTTTCTGGCGGAGAGGAAAGCGGCTGTAGGCGAAGCTTAAAGTAGAGCGAAGTAAATCTGCGTTTTCGTTTATATTGTTTAGTCTATACTAGGACATTAGCACATACTGAGACATACTGGACATTACATTTTGTGGCTCCCAAGGTGGTTTGAATTTGTTGAAAGGACAAAATGGCTCTTCTTATCATTTGTGTTGTGACTCCTGACCTAACCTGGCTATAATGCAGAGGGAGCCGGTCGGATTTCTCACTCACCCAGTTGTGTTTTTGTTATGTGCCACTACAGACTGTCCGGGCGCTGCACTTCCGCACTTCCAAGTTCCGCCTTTTGCGTTCCGTCAACATTACGTTATAAATTAAATATTTAGAAAATCGATTTTTGACATTTGTGAATTGATTCAGAATCGTTCACGTCCGCATCGCGATGCATCTAAGAATCGATTTTTTTCCCGCACCCCTAATATGTATGTATGTATACCTATCCTAAAACTGAAGGGGGAAAAGAGGATAACTTTGGATTGTTCTTTTTAGCACTGTCAGTTGAAAAAGCAAATGTTTCATGAGAACTTCCTTTAGAAAGTGCTGATTTAGGATCTTGGCTTCATCTTTTGTGTCCTGTTTTGTGTTTAAGTAGATGTATAGATTTACCTTCCTTGCATTTGATACCCTTCACTCTGTCTGTGTGTGTGTACATGTACAAATCACTGAACAACGCCCTTGTTTTGTCTGGTTCTCTGTTGAAGACACTGGACTGTCTGTTCCCTCTGAGCCTCAACCTTTTTACATTTTAATCAACACTGTTTTTTCTACGTGTATGTGCACATACAACGGTGGATGAAGGTCTGGAAGCAGACTTTGTTCCAGCAGATTAATTGTTTGGGTGTGTGTGGTGAGGGTTGCGCTTCTGGGTCAAGTGTGTTTGTGTGGGAGTGTGTCGGACTCTCTTCTCATAGATTAACCCCACGCTTTCTTCCTGGGCTTTGGGGCCGGTGCCTAGCCAGCCGTGATAATTAGCGCACAAGACAATTGCCCACCTTCCTCCTGGGACCAGCGTTTTGTTCTCTTAATCTGGTGCCTTAAATAATTAAAGTTGTGCTGAAACCCGCCTGCTTTCGCTTCCACCAGACACCCCTCCACCCACCCCCTCCTGCTCCTGCTCTTTCTCTCAGAGGTGCAGGCAAGATGAGTGTAGGGATGTTTTCTTTTTGTCTTCTCTTCCTTTTCTTTGTTTTAGTCTTAGCAAGTGGCCAAGTGTATGTGTGTGTTGATGCCAGCTACCATCTGTGAGTTCTTTGGCCTTTTACCTGGCTGTTCTTGCCTGTGAATCACTTGATTGTTCTGGTCATGTTTCAGTGTATCCTTGTGGGTGTTGAATAAGAGACACATCAGTGTTATGTGCATCAGTGTTACTCATTTGCCTCCTTCATTATGTACTGGTAGATTGTGAATTTGTGTGTGTGTGCATGAGTGTTATGTGATTGAGTGATTGAGAGCCCGTCACTGTTTGTTGTATAAGCATATTACAGTTTTATAAAATGACCATACAAAAATAGGCTTTAACTAAACAATATGTATACACAGTGAAAAGCCTATATTTTACATAAAATTACACCTCTACAACGAAGTATAATGCCTTTATTACAAGTTTCATTGTTTTCAAGTCTTGCTGTCAGTTTTTCAAAGAATTCTGCAGGGGTGTTTTTCCACACCTACAAAGTTCAGTCTTAGAAGTTGGTTGGATTTTCTGCTTACCACAGTCCAAGTAATCCCAAACTCATTCAGTGATGTTGAGGTCTGGGCTTTGGGTTGGTCAGTCCATTGTTCTGAGAACTAATGCTCACTAATGCTCTTGTGGCTGAATGTAATCAAACCCTCACAGCAATGTTCAAACATCTAGTGTAAAGACTTTCTAGAAGAGTAGCAATGGGGGTGAACTCCCTATTAAAACCCTAGATTTCAGATAAAATGTTGGGTAAACAGATGTCGGCAAACCTTTGGGCATATACATATTTGTCACAGAAAATTGCACAAAACAACACTACATATATTATTAATCTATCTGGAATTCAATTTGTTCACTTTTGTGTGCTCTACTGCCACTTTAGCTCTGCCATCCTTCCAATCTTAAAACCCATGAGTTACAACTGTATCTTCTTAATGGTGTCACTGACAGTATGTTCTCTTTCAGAGACTAACATTCACACAAGCAACTACCCAAACTCACCTTAGCTGCCTTGCAAGTTTCTTTTTCATGTGCATCTAAAACGACTAAAGGAGGTATTTCTGAGAAGATTAGATATAAAATGTTCCACTTGCATAAACAACAGGGAAAGTCTACAGAAAATAAGTGGAAAAAAACAGGACTTTCTAAAGAGTTCGAAAAAATTATTAAAAGATACAGAGAAAATGGGGAAATCCCCTTCTGATAAACAGCATTTAAAGCTTTCATCTTTGAGAGATCAAGGAAAATCAAGGTCCACTCCACAAGTGTGTCTGTCCATTCTGCCACTACACCTCAGTGATATGGATCTAAAAGGATGTGTAGCTGTCAATAAGCCATTACTGAGAAGAGAAGAAAATGTGCACTAAAACACCAAAATCAACTTTTAAGCTTGAACTTTATGGGTGTGGAAAAAAAATCTGCAGATTTCTTTGAATAACTGTTCAACTGTAAGTTAGAAAGGCAAAGATTGAACACACTAAGTACGGAAAAAAAATTGTATTTTATTTAGTGTTTGAGGCTTCTGTGTAATTGTATGTTAAATATATGATGCCTGCTGTTTTCCTGATGCTGAAAAATGAATAACCTGCACTTAATAGCAGTTTTTTCCTCATCTTTAACATAATGCTTTTCAAAGATTCCAAAACACTATGTGGCAAAAAGTGCATGCATTTGTCCTCTTCAAGCTCTGTTTCTTATGGTAAGAGAGATTAATAGGACCATTAGTATTATATAAACCGACAAATCTTTTTCTCTCTCTCTCAAATCAAATAATCAAATTTTATTGACTAATTTTGACAGTACTAGTGTACTGAGTCTGTGTGTGCGTGTGTGAGTGCTGACCTCATTCAGCTCAGTCATCACAGCTCTTTGGCTCTAATCTCATTCTCCATGGCCGTCTCACCAGTTACCAATCCCCTTACAGCCCCACTGAGACCATGGAAAATACACACACTCTTTTAGCCTCATGCATTCACACACTCACACAAGTAGAATGCACTTACGATTTACCCACACGTGCACACCTCCCCGTCATAACCCCCCCACTCATGCTAAATTCTTGTCCCTAAACAGATGTGTTTACAGGATGTCATCATCTGACCCCGGCAGGTCAACACATCAGTCAACCCCACGAGTCTTCATTAAGTAGACTACATTTCCCACTTGGCTCTTCTCTTTAATTATTCAGTGTTGTTTAGGCTGTTTGTGTCTGAGTGGAGCTGACTGTAGTTCTGTAGTTTTAAGCCCTGATTGACAGTGGTAGTGCAATTAAGCACACAGCTCAATGACTCATGATGTATTTCTGTCAAAACCTCTCATTAGTCCACATTAAATACCTTCCTCTCTCTCTCCCCCTCCCTCTCTCTCTCTCTCCCCCTTCCTTTATGTATGCCCATGTGTGAATGTGTTTGTACCATTTTCCTTCCAGTTTTGTAATTAAATGCTGTTTCTTTTTGTGTTTGTATATGTTTATGTGTCTAACTTGGTAATATAATGGTTATTTACCCAAAACAAAACTTAGGAACAGTTTAATGGTTTGTTTCTGTACTTCCTACAGTTCCCTGCTTGTGCCATTGACAGAGAGAAAGAGTTTGCATAGGAACTCAAACTTAAACTGAGTTTCGGCTGTTTTAAGTGCCCTTTACATCATATCACCTTCCTATGTGCTTGTTCACCACTGACTTGTGTATGTGTGTCAATGTACTTGCGCAGTGGAGTGTTAACTCTTTAAGGTTGATACAAAAAAAGTGGCTATTTCTAACACTTTATCTATTCCTTTCCGTTAGTATTGTGATTTCTGAATGCTGTTTTTGTATTTATTGGGTTTGTAAAGAGCAAAGCTGAAAAGTTCTATTCAGTCTGTGTCACAAATTTCCATTGTAAACAAGAAAACACACGTAAATAGGACTATAAATCATTGCTCTGATTAAACAAATCAGAAGTAAGACTTATTATAATAAGTCTTAAACGGCAACGGCCGTTTAGCACAGTGAATAATGCATAATTTTCCTAGAACATTCTTCTGTAGTTATTGCAGCAGCTTTCAGATTGCGTTGTGACTGCATTTACATTACTCACGTTATTTACATCATAAAACTGCAACATGGCTCAACCAAAAAAATAATAATAATTGACTGTCTGCTGTGTGTCTGGGGCAAAAAAATACTGATTCCAGGTATGCACCCCTAACTGGTGGGTGTTTGTATGTATCTATGTGTGTGTGTATCACTTGCTGAAATGTGTTATGCCCTGTGGATCTTCACAGCTCGACGAGAGGAGGAGGAGCTGGAAGAGAAGAAATCGGTGAAGAAAAGAATCAAAGAGCTGAAAGTGCTGGACCCAAAGATAGCTCAGAACCTGTGTGAGTACATGTCTCTCTTTCTCTCACTCGCTCTCTCTCTCCCTATCTATCTATCTATCTATCTCTTCCTCTCCTACTCTCTCTCCCTCGCTCCCTCTCTCCTTCTCCCTCGCTCCCTCTCTCTCCCTCGCTCCCTCTCTCTCCCTTGCTCCCTCTCTCTCCCTCGATCTCATCCCGCATTCTGCCATCCTGTCATCCTCATTTCACATTAGAACTACTGTACTGCATTCATTCCCCTCCTTTTACCCCTTAAACTCTAAAGGTCTGTATGTGTAGGGTCTCACCTCAATTCCTCACTCTTACAAAACATAGTAATTTCATAGATGTTACTGAATGTTTTAAAGAGGCTGACTTATTTCTCTTCTTACTTACAATGAATGTGCAAGAGAAGGGTTTAGTTTCTGAGAGGCCAAAAGATGCAATCATAAGGATTATATATGCATTAAATGCAGTAATGCAGATTACAGTGTAAGAAGTCATAGGTTTAAGCCGGCAACATACTTTAGACGAGAAGGACGTTTTAAAGTAAAACCCTGCTTTCTGGCCAAAATGATGCAGTGGGTTTGCCTGCAGCCAAATCGCTGTGTTATCTGTTCCCCCTGACTGTGATTGGTGCAGACATCACCCAGTTGCCTGTGTCCCTGCACAGTACAGAGTCTCTAATGGTGCACAGAGTGCTTTTTAAGTATGCTTGTGATAGCATGTTTGGCAGTGGTTCACTTTTGTTTAGTTCTTTCATTGTTTGAAGTATATTGCTGACTTCAGACGAATGCTTGTAATGATGTGGAAGGAATCCTGTATTGTGATTTATATTGCTATGTATTATATTTACAATATAACTCATATTAAAACTCCTTAGTGCATCTTTGATGTAAGCTGGATAAAGACTGGTCTGTATGATTTTTGGCAAAAATGATTTAAGTTTCTTTGACAGAAACAGAAACTCATCTTGAGGAGCTGAGGTTGCTCAAGATGGTTGCTTACAGTACATGAAACTTTCATTGATTGGTGAGATGGTCTATTTGCACATTGCAGCCTCCTACAATGTTTTGCAAAGGAACAATATTTTTTTTAGTCCAGGCTTTGCCTTCAATATAAAGTTGTAGTATGAAAAGAGACATTAGGTCTAGGTGGCTTCAGCTAGAAATCTAGACCCCTCCTTAATGAAAAACTTTGTTTTAGGTAATGAGATAGGAAGGTGGAGGAGCTTCAGGCATGGTTCTCCTCCCAAGCTTCAGTTATTTCAAAACTCCCACTTGGGAGAGACCCTTAGACAGTCGTTAGTCAAAGTCAACTTTCAGCACCTCCCTTTTCTTGCTCTGTCTCACTGCCTATCTCAGTCTGTCTGTCTGTCTTTCTCTCTTTCTCTCGCTGTTAGCTCCCTGCAGGTTTATGGGGAGCCAGATGTCACCATTACACACCCCATCTGCTATGCCACACACATTTATCCCACTCCTTGCACCTGTTTATCGAGTCACAGGCAACTTCTTTCTCCTATTTCTAACCTACCTACCTTGAACACCCTCCGTTCACTCAGCAGAATCTTCAGCATCTGTGTATCCCACGGCCTGAGAGGTGGTGTGGAAGTCACTGAGGAAGTAACCTGACCACTTCCAGTCATATCACACTCTTCAACGTCTCTCACTCACTGTACTGCAATAAAAAGCGCTGCTCAACCGCCTACCAGACCTTCCTCTGCTTTATTAAACAAGGAAGCAGAGAGCAGAGTGGATTGCAGTCAAAGCTGACAGTATATAGGGCCACAGGAGTTCATATATGTGACGGACATGGAATGACAGAGCTCTGTTCTCAGATGGTGTCTGACACCATTGGAATATCACTTGTGCTTTAACTGAAGTGTGTAATGAATGTGCATAGGAGTGCTTCAAATGCATTTGAAGAGAGGTTGAATGCATTTATATGCCATGTTATGTGGACCATGACTTGTAAATCACCTCTCGAACAGGTCCAGAAGATTGTGCACGAATGTGCTGCCTATCTTTTAGTCCTTTTGCCTTGCACACGCCGCCAAGTTTATGGCTCCAGCTTTACAATTGAGAACTTAGAACTGAGTGTCTGCTGGATTTCAGAATTTGCATTTGTGTGTGCATGTGTGTGAGAAGTTCACTGATTCCTACACTTCATTAGTTTTAAGTCGGAAGCCTTGTGACCTTTAGTTCATACATTAAAGCAAAATGGAAGTAATCAGCCAAAGCCGTGGTGATAAATTAAGCAGATAATTGATGGCTAGGGAAGAGGGGGAGGGGTTTTCATTTATGTTGGATTGTTGAGGCCATAGGCCTTTGTAACCCGGGTCCATGGATCATTCAGGTGTTAACGCAAAATCTCTCTTTCTTTTCTCTCTTTTCTCAGCCATTTTCCTGGGTTCTTTCCGTATGCCTTATGAAGAGATCAGGAGGATGATTATGGAGGTAGATGAGGAGCAGCTAACAGAACCTATGATCCAGGTAATATCTCATTTACACTCTTACATTTATTATTTACTATACATATCACCACCTTTTGGTAAAAGTCAATGTTTTGAATGATAATGTGGATTTCTGTCATCAGCATGTGTAAATTATCATTGATAGCGCCCAAGACAATTAGCTGTCATTTAGAATTTGTCTAAAATTGATGTAAAACATATTGATTTCTGTGAACTGTTGTGACTGCAATGAGAGCTAAATGACCATCTAATATATTGCAAATGGCAATCATCGGGGTCCAAGCACTGTGCGCCATTATGGAGCCAGTAGAACAACTACAAGAACCCACTACAAGGTTTTGATTTCTGAACTTGTCACCTTTTTCACTGATAATGAGTTTTTATGTCTGATTTACAGTCTACGGCACAAGTAGGGACATGTTTTCAAAGTATGTTCAAAGTTTGCTGTGACAAAGATGTTTTAGTTGTCTCGGTGCTTTTCAGCCTGCTTGGACTGCAAAAGATGTTGATGAGGTGAAGCAAGATTGAGTTGTTTGAGAGAAAAAGAAAGTTTTTATTTCTCTGACCTTCATGCCTTTCTTCCACACAATAGCTGTCTTCTCTTGGCCTGGCTGTATGACTCACTTTTTGACACTGTACAGTGTCGCCTTCATTAGCTTTGTCTCGTTAGAGACAGAGATGCATGCTGTCAAGAAGAGAGAGGGGCTGGGCGACACTGTCAGTAGTGTACACAGGTCGTCAGAATGTTCTCAAATCTCCTCAGAAAGCCCAGCAGGTTTCATTGTACTTTACATTCTTGCAGAGTTCCCATTCTTTTTTTTTTCTTTCAAGCCCGTGTTCAGTAATTACCACTGTCAGCTCAGGTCCAGTAACTTACAGGGGAATATGCGTCTAATGAGATGCATTAAGGGCTCAGATATCTTTCTTGCTTCTTTTTACTGTGTGCCTCATGCATCCATCCACACCTCATCTACAGCCCAATGCAGCTATGTTGATGCGTTTTATTTCACAATCTCATTAGCATTCAAATACATTACCCTATCCGCTCTTTCTAACTCTCTGTTTCCCCGCTTATTCCTTAATGGGCACCAAAACAAATATCCCTCTTGGCACCACCGCACCGCTTAGCATAAAGGTGACATCCATAATGATCGAACTCCACTCATGCTTTTGATTTGGCTTGTTTGATGTGTTGAAGGGTTGTGATATGTAAACAGGTCCTCTGCAGTCAGGAACCAAGGGTTTGCTTCAGCAACGTCTGGCTGGTTTGAATAGGCGGCTTCGTAAATATTGGAGTTTAAAAACCTGAGAGAGTTTGGGCCTCTCTTAGCCTGGCTTTAGCAAATTAAACAAACAGGCTGATGTTGAGCTCCCCGTCGATGGACTTGGTTATTAAAAGTGAATTTATACCACGACTATCGACGCTAGCAGCTAGGCATTATGGATTTCCCCTGCATGAGATGACAGCTGATTGTGGGGATGTTGATATACGAGATTTGGTGGGGATTATTCTCGCTAAATGAGAGTGGACTGCATAATGACAAACCATATATCTGCCCTTTGATGAACCTATTGGAGGGCAATTGAAGGGGAACGAGAGGAATTACTTGGGCAAATGTGCACATAGTAATCAAGAGGCTCATAGACTGCACTGGAAATGTGTAATTGAACAGGAGGTTCTCTTTAAAGCACTGGTGTCTCACTGTTGGGTACACCCTTTCCCATAGTGTATAGAAGCTCATATTTCTGCTATGTTTGAATGGCAACTGTGACATGGCCTTTCTAAAGGATCAGGCTAGCCAGTCTCTGGAGCTCAGTAGCTGTGATGCAGATGGATGTATTGTTTGTAGTTTAGCATCAGTTTGCTGATGCATTCAGATTCACCTGAGTGCAGCAGTTGTGGTTTCCTTGTGAATGTGTTTTTTTCCTGATACTGAAAATTAGCTTGAATTCAGTTGCTGTTTTGACTGAAAATTAGTTAAATGAACGGTGGTTTCTGACGTTTACACAGTACTGTGTATAAGATTATGTATTAGCTACATTACTCAGTTATACAATGTAGGGGATGGGATGGGGGCCCAGGACTGGAGTTGGGAAACAACATTTCTCACACGCTTGGAGATCACCTGATGCAACTGTGAGAATAAGAGCAGTTGATGAGGCAAACAAGCAATTACACAACAGACAGTGAACAGGTAAATGATGCATAATCACAGCGGTCTGCTGTTGGAGATGCAGTGTTGCCTGATAATACTGTGTGCCTTCACTTTCAGCTTTGCCCATCTCTGACATTTTCCTCATATGAACAAAGATGGCTGCAAGTTGGACTTTCTTTTTTGTGAGGTTTGACTGTTTTGAGCTCATTGATGTGTTTAGCTAAGCCATGTGTGGAAATAGGAGTTTCTGAGGACGAACGCCAAGGGCTACAATATCTCAGTTTTACTAGAAATCGAGGGACTGTATCAGTAACCTGAAGACATTGATTGAAGGTTGCTATAAGAAAGGCCAACTCTGTTATCCAAGTTTTCACCTCAAGAAACTTTAATAAAGAAACAGTGTGGACCGTGTAGTTGATATTATTTCTCTCTCACACACAGAATCTGGTGAAGCACCTTCCTGAGCAGGAACAGCTGAATGCACTGGCCAAGTACAAGAATGAATATGCCAGTCTGTCTGAACCTGAACAGTTTGGGGTTGTGGTAAGTAGTACACACACACTTTTGCAGTTTGCATACATCTAGAAAAATTGCTTATGATTTTAACAATATATACCTCAGCATATGTTTAATGCAACAGTAGTGTCTCATCTGAGACTGGAAACCAAATTGAAAATCCTGACTGTGCTTTTTTAAAAGGAGCAGTTCTGTGAAAAATACAGTTTACACAATTTTCCATTTACCTGAGATGTAGTCGATCAGCTAAGACATGATTGGTGTCTGAATTTTTCTTCTTTACTTTATTGTTGGAGCTACAATCCCGACATTGCTAACAAACACTATAAATCAAAAGTCACCCAAATATTTTCTGTAAATACATCCCAAAACTTCTCTCAACAAGTTTAAACTGCATCTAGCTTTTTATTCATTCACCAGACTTGTCGGCATGATTTAGGATGCAGTATGACTTTTATGAAATGAAATAAAATGAATAAAACTTCACTTAATAGTTGAACACTGCAGTCAGACGTTTTATACAAGAGGCTGTTGTGCCTCAAATTCCCCATACAGAATCTGACTTCCTGTGACCCATACGCACATCATATGTTCATATGGATACTAGATTACATTCACAGTTTCTATTGTTTCTGTTTGTCAACATATGTCTTCTGTTTGAAATTCAAGCTCAGCAATTAGTTATAAAAAGAAACAACAGGAATAGCAACCAAATGCCTGCATGGCATGCATACAGGTGAATGGAAGTTGGCACAAGACCTGTTGTCAAAAGTGGCTGCCTACAGAGTTCAGCTACATGGTGGTAATTTGTTGATTTTTATAGTTCACAGTAAGTCATACCACACTGACAAGTCTGCACAACCTTAAAGAAAAGCTGGATGCAGTGCTTGTTAGCATTGCTAACCTTGTAGCTCTAAATTAAAGAAGTGAAATTTGGACATTACACATCTCTTGGCTAATCAGCTATGTCTGGGATAAGTAGAAAACTGTGTTGATTTTTTGCTGAACCATTCCTTTAGGGTCCTGTATAGTTAGTGCTGTAGTGGTTGTAATTCAATACAAACAGTCTCTTTCTTTAAATCCCAGAACATAAAAGGAAATGCCTGTGCTGTACTGGTGTACCTGACAAACATCCTACCTGATAATACACTGTACTTATCCCTCTGCTCAGGGCAATTCAGGTGGTAGATTTATCTGTCAGTATGGAACATAAAGCCCTCAAATATTATCCACTTTTTTAACTTTCCCACCTCCAGCATCCTTCCAGTTAATTTATTTAAAGTAGTAACAAGATATAGTAGCTGTTACTAAGCTCTGTTAAAGCCTCAGTAGACTAATAAATCAATGTGATGAGTCAGTTATTAATCTCAGCGTTACTGAGCTCTGTTAAAGCCTGAGTAGATTGATAAATTAATGTGAGTTATAAATCTAAGTGTTACTGAACTCTTTTGTTAATCATTTTCTCTGGGATGGACATGTTTTCAAGAAAGTGAATGGTGCGAGTGATTGATGTGCTGGACTTCTGGTCGGGGGATTATGCAGGGGATAAGAAAGAAAAAAATGTTGAAAATGTTGGACCTTCGTTTAAACAATAAGTAAATTTTTCTTGAAACGTATTAACAGAAGGATTACATGAAGAAAACTGCCAACCAGCAACAGCAAAAAACAATTAAACAAAAAAAAATTTAAATGTTTCACTGTATATTCTAATTGTATTCTGAAAACGTTACTTTTTGTGTATTTTAATGGAAAAGTCTATTAAATACATTTAAAACAGTGTATTCTGTGTATTTAGTTTATTTAGCCATCACTTTTTCAACATTTTTTTTTCCAACTCTAGCACCTATGAGAGTATGTAGGCTTGCATCTCTCTCTGATTAGTGTTGCTGACTGCTGACTCTAACAATAGGCCTATGCTTAACCTTTAAACTTTTTAAAGTTTATTATTATGGAGTTTTTAACCTAAAGACGTATTATTCAGCGTCTACTATGTATTGTTCAGCAGCTTAAACAAATATGTAAGTAAAACTGTTATCAGACGGGAGGCATGGGAATCCGTTTCGGCTGTGGTTCTTTAGGAAATACAGAGTTTAAATTGTTAAGGCCTCTAGCATTAAAGGAGAGTTCTGGCCAAAATGAAAATGTAAACATTGTTACATTGTAATCATGCCTATTCACCTAGAGAGGTGCTGCAGTAACCTCTAGAGTGCAATTTTCTGGTGTAAATACTTGAAAAACCTCCTTGAAGGTGGGTGGATCTTTGGGGTGGTTACTGGAGGGCAGGCTGTTTGCAGTGTCATTATTGTGTTTTTTTTTTCTTTCGGTAGCTGGATCATTCAGAAGAAAACCAGATAGCTTAAGTTACTTCTAGGGAACGTGGGGCACATCATAGGTGCCTTACCTCAGTTTAGCTCTTTTTCTCTGGCTGAAGAAGTACAAGCTATTCTCTGATGCCCCTTCTGTGTTTAATGCAGACGGAATCACTGTTTCTGTACTACCTGTGTGAATTTTGCAAAAATCACCCTACTAGTCCACTAGATATCCCAATAATTCTGCTATTAAATCTCTCTAATAGGGCTCTGGTTTGAAGTGCTGGATATACACACAGGTTTGAGGTATATGAATGTCCTTTCCTGTAGTCACACCATTTTTGCATTTTGCAATTGTAAACTAATTAAAAATTTAACTAAGACATCTTATTTTGCAGATATCTTATTCTACATATGAGGCAAGAGCTAAACTAGTGCTAGCTAGCTACCCAGCTGTACTTTTTTAGCCTCTAGATCCGTGTTTAAGCTAGGAGTTAGGGTTTCTTTATCACTGTGAGAGAAAACAAAAAGATGCTAAAGCTAATGGATACAGTGCTGTGTTACAGTCAAAGCTATGTGACGTAATATAACCATTATTCCACCTTAATTCCACCTAATCCTAATTAATCCATTCTTCACCCTCCTCAGCTCTTCTTGAATGAACTTTGCTGGTTGGTCCGTGTCACATTAAAAATATTACAGTAAAAGCATGCACATATTTTATTGTGTGAGTTTTAAGGCATGAGGATGACGAATGACAGGTACCTCTGGTTACGTAAGAGAACTGCAGCTTGGGAGAGTTCAGCCAAGTTTACCCTTTCTTTCATTCTCTCTCTCTCTCTCTCTCTCTCTCTCTCTCTCTCTCTCTCTCTCTCTCTATCTCTCCATTTATTATCGCTCTAGCCTTACACTCTGGTCACAGCATTCACACATAGATAAATAGCCAATCACAGTGCTTCACTGTTCAATGTACACATCAGGAACTCGACCTTGCTTGTGATTTCATTGTTCTGGTCTGTCTGAACCACTAATCACTGCTCACTGCCATGTATGCTTGTGTGCATAAGCTTGTTTAGCGGAAGACCCATACCAACACTTTTTTCCCCCTCAACATTCAAAATGGAATTAACTGAACAATAACAAAACATGCATGGCCTTTAAACAATTCCAAAATGCTTATAATCTATAATCTATTACAATTTACTAATTACTTCTCTCCTACGTTGTAGTGGAATGCTTTACTTATTACTACAAAGAAACTGCTCAAATGCTAATGATCTTAAGCTCACCAGCCACCTTTTGAAAGAATGCTTTACCCAAAAGAAAACTGTCTGTTTAAAATTAATACCACTTGGTTTGACGTTTTCTTTCCTAACACAATGAATGCAGTACATTTCAAGTATGGCACAAAAGTAAATATTGACTTATTATACACCAACAAGCCAAAACTTTATGACCGCCTAACTAATTTGCTGTTGCTCCTCCTCATGCCGCTAAAACTTCAACAAGACCACTGTGGTATCTGGCACCAAGACATTAGCAGCAGATCTTTTAAGTCCTGTAAATCATGAGGTGGAGCCACTGCGGATTGGACTTCTTGTTCCACAACATCTTACAGTGGCTTGACATTGAAATGTTTGGTATTTAGAGGCCAGGGAAACACCTTAAACTTTTTGGCATGTTCCTCAAACCATTCCCAAACAATATGTGCAGTGTGGCAGGCTGATAGAGGCCACTGCCATTGGGGAATTACATTGCCATGAAGTGGTGTACCTGGTCTGCAGTGATGTCTAGGTAGGTCCACATGAATGCCTGGACAGAGAGTTTCCCAGCAGAACAGTGCCCAGATCATCACTCTCCCTCCATCGGTTTGTCTTTTTCCCCACAGTACATGCTGGTATCATCGCCTCCCTAAGTAAACAGTGCACACGTACCTGGCTGTCCATGTGATGTAAAAGAAACAGGTCTCATCCGGCCAGGCAACCCTCTATCATTGCTCCAGGGTCCAGTTCTAATGCTTGTGTGCCCTTTGTAGGTGCTTTCTTTGGTGGACAGGACTTAGCGTGGCAGTCTGATTGGTCTGTGGCTACGCAGCCACATATGGAGTATTACAATTTTCAATGACTTTAGCCACAGTAGTCCTTCTGTCAGTTAGGACCTGACAGGATAGCCATCATTGCCCTTACTCATCCATGAGCTCTGTGCGCCCAACACACTGTCGCTGGTTCATAGTTAGTCCCTCCTCAGACCAATGTAAGTAGGTTCTCACCATTGCTGACTGGGAGCAAAGTCCTTATAGGAAAGTCTGTTCACTTGGTGGCCATCTTGGCTACGTTGCCAAGCAGTTATTTCCAGTCATACAAGACTCTTATCTTTTTACATGAGGAGACACTTAAAAATTCAAAGCTGAAGGCCAAATTACCATTTCAAAAAATATTTTGATATCACTCGTAAAGTCTGCCAAAAATCTCGTAAATAGTTCGTAGTGTTTGATCACACAACCTAGGGGGCTTTCCCGCTTGCGCCTTTACCAGCAAACCGATTGACTCTTTTTGTTGAAGGGAGGGATTTTTCACCTAAACAGACGCGATGTTGAGCATTACAGGCTGTCTCCTGCTTTATAAAGTCTCTGCCGGAAGCACCCCACAAGCCTTGCTGTTTCTGAGTTGCTCCTACCAGTACATATAGAGAGCCCCCCAGCCCCCTTTTAAACTGTCT